ATCCCTACTATATGGTGATTCGAATCCCTACCATATGACAATTCAAATCCCTACTATATGACGATTTGAATCCCTACCATATGACGATTCGAATCCCTACCATATGACGATTTTAAATTTAAATCATTTAATATCTATATGATATGGGGTCGATTACTATATATTTTATATAAAAATATTAGTTTCTATAAGCATGCTAGATAGGCTATAGGCATAGTGGTGCGTGTGGTAGTTTTAGTAGTAGTGTGGCGGAAGGTAATCATTGTAAAAATTTATTTTGGCCGGTTTGTACATTCAGTCCGCCGTACTATGAGCTGTTTCTTCGGCGTAGTGGATTTTATGGTTGACAACCTGTCACACTCACACCATCACAATGTGAGTATATACGTTGAGCTGGCCCCAATAACGAATCTTTGGATTGACATCAGTATAGGACTCCTCCATCCTCCACGCCATCTCGGCAGTTGCCGCCGTCCTGGCCACCCTCCCTCCGCAAGCCCCTGCGGTCTTTGAACATCGCCGTCTCCGTCCGGCTCCATCGGCGTCCTCTGCGACCGCTGGCATCTCGCTGGAAAATGCCGCCAATAAAAGAAGTAAGCATATTGATTCGACCTTCACGACAGGCACCTGAACAGTGGTAATACTAATGGCCAGAAATAGAGCGGCAAAAATGTGGCAAGGGTGCGAAATCCCACACAGGGGCATGCTGGTTCCGGGCCCCAATGTGGCCGCCGGCCGCGTCCACCAAGTTCCCTGCTCGCAACGTCTACCAGTACGACGTAAGTATATCCTGTCCTCAATCAAACAAACAAAATAATTCTTGGAGCTGCACCTTGCTAACAAAGGCAAAGGTAAAAATCTGAAACACTGTTGAGAAGAATGCTGTCATCAGAAGGTCTGGAATTGCAATGCTCACGGGGCGGCCCTGTTCGGCATCAAGATCAACAACCACATTTCCGAACAGGGCCGCCCTGCTAGTAGAACTAGCAATACTTCCATTTGACTGTTCGCCTACGAAGACCGTCAATCACTCCCTGGATTACTGGACGCACCTCTATGTCAGAGGCAGAAAGTAAGTACACCATTTATCCGAGCTGCAATGTGTTCAGTGACTAATAGCCACAGACTCCCTCGACCATGTTCTGCATGACCATCCTCGCGGCAAATTCCTCGCTATTCTCGCTCCTTCTTCGATCCCAACAGGGAAAATTAAGATCTCAGAAACGATCTTCCTTGGGTATCTTTTCGGCCCCAATACAAGTTGAGTACGTACGTTGAGCTGCCCCCCATAGCAGATCTTTGGATTGACATCAACAAGACCTCGAACCGTCGAACGAGACTCCTGCTGCCGCCGCTGACCCGCCTGCCACCAAGGGTGGTGAATAATTACACCTTTAACGGTGATGGCCATGCAGGCGACATCCCCCTGCCTGGCAAGAAACAAAGAAGAAGAACGCGGCCCGACAAGGCCAAAAAGAAGGAGGAAGAGAGGAAGGGCACTGAGACAAGCTCCAACTGAGCTATAGTGGTGTTAATCTCACCATCAACGCTCCCGCTTCCTCCGGATCCTCTGCAGGCGCCTCCCTCCGCCGCCAAAAAACCAAGAAGAAAGCGCCCTGACAAGGCGAAGGAGGCCGAGGGAAAAAAAAAAAAAAAGAAAAAAGAAAAGAAGGACGAGTCCAGATAAAACAAGGAGGCAAAGGAGGAGGCGGAGAAGGAGGAGGATGATATGAGCTTAAATCTAAGTACAGTTAATAAGATGCCTTTAAAAGCATTGTTCGCTTCCCATGGAACTAGGAGCAAAGAGGGTCTACTTAACAGGTCACTCTGGATTGAAGTGTTAACCCACCTTCCTCTGCCATTGGACGGATTCTTCATGATCCGACGATGTTTGATATCATACATTCTGTTATGTAGGTTAGATTGAGCTGGGTCTTTCGACTCGAGCCGGATAGGGCCCCTTTATCTGACAGTCGACACGTCACATGTACTTTCTTCTAACTTCCGAGCTCTTCGCATTGAACCTGTCTGGGAGATTATGATGAAATCGTGGTATTGATGAAGAATGTGGAATCCACATGACCGCATCTAACATGTTTCATCGAAAGACATGTCCCTAGTGTACTTTCTCTGATCCCGGCCCCGAACAACGCGGAGAACTCAACCGTCAACCCTTCCTAAAACAATGATTTATTCGGCGAAGGTGATAGCTGCTTATCACATTTCTTTACCTCGTCTGACTAAATACGATTCCCCTGACTGACGCCCGCATCTGCAGTGTCTACCTGCAAAGATGATGTCTGCATAACAGCTTAAATGTTGATTCAGACTTAATCGCTCGAATATTGCCAAAGAGTATGCAGTCTAGCCTGAGACAGTATGCTGAATATTTCTACTTCCTATTGACAGTACATGCAGATAACCACACTAATAACAACAGATGTCTGGCTGTGTCCGCGTTGCCTCAATCAGACCGCCCAGCCAAACATTATCCGTCTACAAGCTTACAACCACTGTCAACTGCCACTCTGTGCACCACCACTACCATACCTCCTTCTCATCAACTAAGTACAGCAAATACACCGCAGCAGGTCGATATGACGACTATAACTGGGCATGCCCCTAGGAGTACCATAACTTTCGGCTGTGTGACTATCAATAACCACTTTGCGGGAGAGTATTGTTTTTATCACTATAGCAGCGGCACTGCCACAGTTATGATTGAGATACAGGACAAGCCAAAACACAGATGTAGGAAGAGAGGATAAGGAAGGAACTGCAGGGAATTGACATGCTTTTATGTATACGGTGGGTCCAAACGGACTCACTATAGTTATACGACCAGGGTTACCTGAGCGAAAGCAAGCGATGTTTACTACAGATCTTGTTGAATGATTCCCCCGAATCTGAGGATAATGTGAGTGATGTTCATCCTGAGTCTCACGTTCCTCACCATTTGATTACATCCCGCACCCTTCCTTGTTAGGGATCTTCGACACCACTTCCGGGTGGTCAGCCACAGCGCTTGTTGCATCGTATATCTTCTTCTCCCCTTCCAGACGACGTTCTCTCAGCAGTACGCAACTATATGCCAGAGTCCGCGGGAGTGGGCCGCCGCGGAGGGTGCCGTTCTGCGGCTAAGAAAATAAGTAGGCGTACTCTCGCCCCTTCTGAATAACGAGAGGATGCCCAGCAGGACGACGTCCTTGCTGGCCATGAGGCCGTAGCGGAGGCGGCCTCTGTCAGCAAGAAGCTAGAGGGATACCTGACGTTGCTCGTAGGTCAGGAGCAGACGCGCTTAAACGCGAATGAGCTGTCCGATCTTGGCCAACACCTTGATCGCCTGACGTTGGCGAAGATGCCATTAAGCCGAAGACGAGTACCATAGAGACCGAGGTGACTTGCTGACTCGTTTGCCGCTTTTGACGCTCACGGAGAGCCCAGCATATATTCCAAGCAGAAGATACTGATCATCGTGTGCAGGTGATATTGCAGCTAGAGAATCTTGAGAAGCGGATACTACCTGCCACCATGTCTCCCAATTGAGCCCTGCCCTGACAATATTGGACCCCATACTGCAGGCGAACTGCACGGATAGCAGCTTGGAACTACTGTCGCCATATGCTCATCGGGGATGCGTCCTTGTAAGATGGATAACCAGGGGCTGCTGCTATTCCAAAATTGATCAGCACTGCCTGCTTCAGGGGCATTGTGACCTTGTTTTCTAGAAAAGGTTTATCGCCAGTTGTCCACGGATACCCAGGCAAGACAAAGACGAAGCGATTTGCCATGAACTGACACTATTGGGACTCACTGGCACAGCGACGTGGATTAATATGTGGATAACTGCCTGATTCATTAACGGATGAAGGCTATGCGTGATTCGCCCCGGGCTTATTACACGCGAATGTACCCAAGGAGAAGGGGTAGTGCTGGTTATGCGAGGGAGTATAGTGGTAAATTGCTCTGCCTTGTATACTCAGAGAGACTAAGGAGATCTTTCACTAACACCTGATGCTATAGAGTCAACTCCTGCATCCCTACCAGTCCTGGGACCGATGTGGGAGTTTCCATCAGGACCGTGGCGATGGCGTGGCCCATCACGAATTGCTTTGTCGAAATCGGAGGCTGCAACATTACCATTTATGATGTTCTAATGGCGTAGAGATTCCAGCAAGATAGCTGATGTTTGACTCCAGCAATCGTATTCTGAAGTTAGGTCATCAGATCTGAGCGCCGGCGGGAGATTCTGACATAGCTGTTTAAGACTGACTCCTTAGTATAAGACGCAAGGCAGGTGAATAGGATGGCAACATCCAGATGTCCACATCTTGTCTAGTCAGACGGCACGCCCTTGGCAAGCAAAGAGACAGCCATCGGTTCGCGTGTAAGATGGAGCCCGTATTCGACATTCAGGCGTAGCACCGCGGCCCGGGAAGTGCAGTAGCAGTCCCCTCGCATATGGCGACGAATTGACAAGGCCTGTGAACGCTGCAGACGCCGAGAACGGGAGACAACGTGTCTTCCTGATCAGTGATGAGAATCAGATGGATTCTGGTAGCTTGCCAGATCTACCTGTACGAACACAGACAGAAGAAGTATTGGTAGTCCACGTTCATATCTTTATTGAGGTCTGTCGAATCCGCGGCCAGCAGTACTAATATTATTGGCATATATCAGCTTTCTCCATAACACCAGCCGTGTTCGTGAGCAGCTCACCTTACTCCAGAACAGCTTCGGCCCGCGAATGAGAGAAAAGAGCCCATCTTAGCTTCGCCTGTACCTTTTAGGGGCACAGGTTACTAGACTCCAGCACCACGATGAGGTGTGAGCTCGTCACCGGAGAACAGGATCCTTGCCGCATCTCGCAGAACGAGTTCAGTGGTTTGGATCAACTGCTGGAAATAGCAGGCTCACTCCCCACCTCTTCTCGCAGAACGAGTTCAGTGGTTTGGATC